TCTACTAAGCTTTCAGAGCTCCCAGATCCTTCCCCATCCCAAGCCCTTTGCTGCTACCTCCCTCTGTCCACTGGCCTCAAATGTTTTTCATTCCCACAGCTGGGTCATCCCCTGCAGGCTTTTTTCTGCTTGCCCGGCTGATGACGTTTTTCTGGCTCCAGAAAACTTCCGAGATGGTTACAGCAGTGCTTGCGGGGACAAAGGATTGTCCCGATTAAAACAACAACAACAACAAAACTAGGACAGTCTTGCAAGAGTCTGGATGGGTGGCCAACCCACATGAACACTTTGTGATGATTCCCTCAGCTTTCCCCCTTCCTCATTAGACAGGAACACTACCTTCATTTTGAAAACTTGGGAGTCAAACTGAAGTTTTAATTGTGGTCAAAGGTCTATTGAATGGTTGGTGTCACTGAGATACCTGAAATTCTTTTCTCATTTCATTATTCTTAGGTATCTGATTATTTCTGCTTCTGCATGTTCTAAGGTATGGACAGCGATTGAAACGTAGGGACAAATTCAACCTTAAGTGTTAAGTCTTGAATGCTAGACATTTTCCCCCTATAGTTTTAGAATGACTGGGAAGGGGAAGGCTCAATTATTTCAAATAATATGGAGTAATTACACTTAATTACACTTAATTGTACTTTGCATTAGAATATTATATAATTATTATTCTTTGTGTGATGGGCTTTGTCTTATAACTATAATTTCCATTGAGTCTAGATGGAAATAAAACTGTTGTCAAGAAATGGAATGAGAAAACTTTGTTTACAGTTTTGTCAGTGCTTTCTGCCAGTGTTCTGTCCTTCCAACAGCTGCAGAAGAACATGCTGTTGGTATTTGGAAGCCTCTAGAAAGAGGTGTGGCCAAGTTTATTTTTCTAATCCCTAAATTCAGCAAATAGGTCATCACTCAATCACCTTATCTATGTGTGCATTAAACCCTCACTAATAAATACTCATGCTTGTGAGATGTCACAGTGGGAGCTGAAAGCCAAGGCATGCATCAAAGTCTGCAGATTCTCTGCCACTGAGCACATATTCCTTATTTCCAGAAGTTATTCAACCTCTCTTCACTAGAATGTTAAAATTTTTAAGCAGTGACTTGAAATTAACACAGAGAAAATGGACTTAGAAAAGTCCTTTATATGCCAAAAAGAAATGCTCATTTCTGATAGACTTTATTTTCAAGCTGTGTCCAATGTGTTCACTCTTTTTTTAGTTCTTGTCCTGCTTGTAATGATCACTAGCACTGCTATTTGTGGAAACCACTCTATTTTTAACCTAGAAAAGGGGTTGGACAAGTGTCTGTGTTTTTATGGAGTGATCATGGACAGCTCTCATACATTTTTAATTTATGGCCAATCATCTGCTATTATTAGCTATCCCAGATTAATTCATCTGCTAAGTGTGAGTGAGGCTGAGTAATGAATGATTCTGCCTGAAGTTGTGTTTTCCTGAATGCTTACAAAACTTACTTTCTGACTGAACTGTGCAACATTTTCTGTGAGACAAGCACGCTAAGATCTCTCTGTAATTCTTTCACTGATTTACACTCTTCCACACAGAATATCACTGTCCCTCTGACAAAAGAAGAAACCATGTTTAGCCTGTTTACCTAATGTCCAAGGTACTGAAGAGCTATATAAATTGACTCTTAAGTTCCCTAACAAGTGAAGAAAGAAATGAACCTTTTATCCACCTCTAAAATAAGTTCCAGATAAACATATTATTCATTTCGTTAAATGGAAACGTAGACTAAGGCACTCAAGCTTACTTTTTGTTTGTCACAAAAGCCATTATCAAATGGGAACAGGTGAGAACCTTTGGAAGCCAACATAAATGGAAAATAAATATTTTCCATTTGATATGTTGCAAGTGACATTTTAATTAATGTGTATAGTTTCCTCCAGCAGTTCATTCATTGCCAGTCATGCTTCTTCAGGGTCTTTCATAACTACTATAATCTCTCTCTCTAGCCATGACACCATCATGTTTTTTTTTTTTTTATAAGGAAATGCCCAATGGCAAGTTGCAGAATTTTCATATTTGAGTAAAAATGTCTTGTTTAAAGCACTTAAAAACACTGCATTATGTTGAAAACATAATAATAGCCATTATTGGGTTAGACCTACATTTTCTCTAATGGGAAACTTTCTGGCTGAGTTGATCTTTGCTGGGTATGCTAATTTTAGAAGGCAAAGCAAGCTCCCAAATATCGATTGGTTTCCCTAAAACACGTCTCAATCAATCTATTTAATACCTTCTGGATTTCATTCATATATAAATGCTGTTTACTGGAACCTGGGGTTTCATAAAAATATAAGAAGCTGAGTAATATAACCTTGCATTTCAATTATTAAAATTTATTTTTTAAATTTTCAAGGTGTTTTGGGATCCTATTCCCAGTACAAGTTTACAATATCCAAAACCTTTCATATTAAAAAAAGTTCCTATATTCTTTTTCTGACTGTGCCTTTTCTATTTCAAGCTAATTAAAAGATATATTGCAGAATAATAAAACTGCATATCCTCTAAATTAGTCTGTCAAAGCAAGACTCTTTTAAAAAATTGAATTGTGAGAATTTTCCCATGCTTTCATTCAGATAAAGGATTATAATGTGTACTAATTTTTCTAAGATCCTTTGCATCAAATAAGTACTGCTTCAATAGTTTTTATTTACCATCAACTGAGAAGAAAAGATAATGATGAACCTTACTACTTTAACAAACAACTTCTTTTCTACCACTAGAACTGTTTTTTCAGAAAAGAAATAAAGTATTATTCTATATTCAGAATCCTGGGAGTGTCTGTTGTTTGTCTTGTAAATAGCACGTGATATTTTAGGTAGTACATGTTTATTTCCGTTGGAAGAACATGTCCTATTTTTTTGAGGAAGGAAAGAAACTTGTAAGACATCAAATGTCTCTTGCAAAACAATTTGATGAAATAAATGTAAATAAATCAGAAACACGTGAATTGCATTTCAATTAAAATTAATGGGCTTAAATATAAAGAGGGTAAAGTGCTTGAGGGAAAGAGTGTGGTAAGGCGGGAAGTGACATTTGTTTTGTTTTCATCAGTCTTGGATTCTTGAAAAATGGCCCAACACTTCAACCTCATTCATAGTCTCTTCAGACTCATAATGGAGTTACAGAGTGGGAGAATCATGCAAATTAACTTTACAGTTTTATCTGGCTCCAATTCCAATGTATGTATCAAACATTGCCACTTTGTAATTCTTCACAATCATTCTTAATTTGAAGTTGGTGATTATCTATGTAGTTATTTTAAGGGTACACAAGAAACTGTAGTCAGGCTCAAGCACACCTTTTTTTTCCCACTCAGACTCTGAAATAAACTTGATATTTATTGTTTCTTTCCGATTGAAGATGACCAGATCTAAATGGAAAATACACCATGGGGGCCAGAAGTGTATACACATATGTATGACATGGGCAGAAGGAAAAAAGCTGTTGGAAGAAATGGTGAGAGAGCAAGAAAAAAAGGAGTAAGAAACACATGCAGAGCTGGACCATTGACTCCAATTCCACGGGGAAAACACTCAAATTGCACAAGTTATGCAAAAGTCACAAAAAATGTATCACAGTTTTTTTTTTTAATAACCATCAGCTTTTTTTTTACTGTAGTTATCCATAGTGCAGATTTTTAATGGAGAAAGTAAAAGACATTTTCTTGATATTAACACAATGTCTATTCCACTGTGTTTTACACTGCTTTTTGTTTATACTTTTTAAACTTTTATTTAATAAATATAAAATTCCAAAGTACAGCTTTTGGATCACAGTGGCCCCCCCCCAAAAAACTTCTCTCCCACCTGCAACCCCCCATCTCCCACTCCCTCTCCCATTCCATTCACATCAAGATTCATTTTCAATTCTCTTTATATACAGAAGATCAATTTAGTATATATTAAGTAAAGATTTCAACAGTTTGCACCCACACAAACACAAAGTGTAAAGTACTGTTTGAGTACTAGTTATATAGCATTAATTTTGTAATTATATCATTTATGCTTACTTAAAAAGAAGTACAGAGCTTTTTTATGTTTTGTGTGTTTCAATTAAAATAGAATTATTCAACGACTGAATATCAGGGAAAAATCAAATTCCCAAACAATATTTTACAAAGTTTACAAATATGTTTCCATGCCTCAAAATATGAGTAGGATTGATGTATGGTCTGATATTTTAAGTCCTCAGTTCTCAGTCTTTGAAAATGGGAACAACTTAAATATTCTCCAAAACTTGCAAAAAGGCAAGAAGCACATAGGTAGAGCATATACAGATGGGGGAGTCTGTTTCTTCTGTAGTGGTCTTGCTTTCTGGCTTGCTGAAAACAGACAGGTGCAATTGGACTTCAGCATCTCCCTGGCACCCAGAACCCTGCTGCTGCTCATCACCAAGTCTGGAATGGGGATGCTGCTTGGTTTCCCTGAGCCAAACAGTTTATTTTCTCAAACTGTTCTGGAAGTGTTTTTCTTCCTTGCATTTCAACAGGCAGTTATTGTGAGGAGTCACTCAAAATATTTTCTCCATAATTTGGCGTCTAGCACAGTACTTTGTTGTTTTATTTAAATTTCTTTTCATTCCCCTTTAGTAAATGGAAAGTTGAGTGTCTAAACTATTTCATTGCACCTTCAATTAGTAGTAATCCAACAATTACAACTGTTTCTGAGTCTCCAAAGTCACTCTTCATGGTCTACTATCAACAAAATGTCTAAATTCTAATACCAAAGTTGTATTAATGAAAATACACCAGTATTACCATGTTAAGCTTTGTCACTATCAAAAGCCAATCTTTACAAGGTCTTCAATTAAGTAAGTGTCATTCTGTAGGTTGACAACATTATTACAACGGTCTATTTCCTTTCAGGAGGGACAGATTTATTTCCCACCATGACTTGTGACAGCAACATTTCCTGAGTGTATCAGGAGCTAATGCTTTGCCATTTGTGTTGTTCCACTTGATAACAGGCATACCCCTGTAGCAGTGATAAGGAATGTGAAGTGGGGAGGTATTGCCACAGTCCCCACCAAGGATCATCAGCCTGCATGGTGTGTCGCAGGAAAAAGAAGCGTTGCCATCGAGACGGCATGTGTTGCCCTGGTACCCGCTGTAATAATGGTAAAGGTTCTCACTTAATGTTTATGGGCTTCTTTCTTTTTGTGTAGGGAGACTGTCTTGCAAGTTAGGCTCATTTCTCCCTATTTAGACTCACGAAATAAAAGGAATCTTTTAGGACTTGGATAGATTAGATTACCATTTAGGATTATCTCCCAGACTTTAGTTTTCTCCAGGCTCTCACCACCTTCTGTATTTTGTGACTCATACTGACACAGGATGTTGGCATGTTGAAGTGTTATGTATAAATAGCTAGAGGTTCCATTCTGCTTATCATGCAAGTGAATACTTTCATGCCAAAGAACCAAAAAAATGGAACCTACTGTAGTTTAATAATGTTATAGTGAGTCAGTCTTCCAGTTTCATACCTTGGTCCTGTTATTCAAGATCTGTTGTGACACCCTTAAATGGTGAAGCAGTAATTGGTACCTCCAAATGGAGACACAGGATTCCACCTCAGCATGATTTTACCCAATATTAATAACTTATAGGCAGAAAATTCACATTAATTATGAAATGAAGACTCACAGACAACATGTGACAAAAATATTAAGTAATTGCAGAAGGCAATCAGAAACATATAATTATTCAAACAAAAGAGCAATATCAGGCTCATACTCCACATCTATTTGTGATCTCTGGGTATAGACCTACTGTGAGTATGTTGGACAGGAGGTAAAGGGAAAAAGACCTCAACTAGAGAAGCTTACAGTGTGCCCTAGGATTGTATTGTTAATTAACAAAGTGATCTGCATCATGGGATGGATGACTAGTCACAAGGTTTAAAAATAATATAGGATAACAGGAATTTGATTTTGTACTGTCAATCTAAGTACTCATATATTCACAATAATTCAGTGTAATTCCGCTTTTATTTTTATTTGCCCAAGGTCACTTGGTCTTGAGAGAAATGAGAATTTAATCAAGGAATCCTGGCTCCAGTGTCAAAGTGTGCTATACCCTAATATTAATAAATAAGTAAATGAACATATGGATGGAAAAACAGATGTTCAGATAGGCAGATGAATGGCTTTAACTGTATATCAGGAGCATATAGAATTGTATTGGTCTAATTGCTTGCATCTCCATTTCTAGGCATCTGCATCCCAGTCACTGAGAGCATCTTAACCCCTCACATCCCAGCTCTGGATGGCACTCGGCACAGAGATCGAAACCACGGTCATTACTCCAACCACGACTTAGGATGGCAGAATCTAGGAAGACCACACACCAAGATGTCACATATAAAAGGTAGGGCTTTGTTTATTTTTTCTTACTTCATAAGAAGTAAAAAAAAAAATACAAATAATTCTATTGACTATAAAAATAAATCATAAGTAGGATATTTTAATGGCAACTTTTTAACTGAAATTCTTAATTCTGAGGATGCTGGAGATTTCTTACAGAATATTACAAGAATTGCATCACCTTGATAAATCATGCCATTTTCTAAACAGGCCTTCCTTTTTACATGGAATTTGGAAGAAATATTGTATATAAACATTGTTGTCACATATATATCAAAGAATAAAATATTTTTGAAAAATAAATGGGAAAATGTAGCCATCTGATTAAATTGTTAGACTTCTAAGTCATTTTATCACCTTTGCAAATTAAAAAAGTTACCATAATTTATTTATCTGGTCATCAGTTGATGGACATGTGGGTTGATTGTATGTCATAGCTATTGTGAATTGAGCTGCAATAAGCATGAGTATACAAATAATTCTTTTCATATGCTGATTTCATTTTATTGGGGTAAATTTTCAAAGAATCTCCATACTGTCTTCCATATTAGTTGTACTAGTTTACATTCCTGCCAACAGTGTTTGGGTACCCTTTTCTCGACATCCTCACCAGCATTTGTTGTTTATTGATTTCTGTGTAAGAGCCATTCTAACTAGGATGAGATGAAACCTCATTGTGGTTTTGAGTTGCATTTCTCTGACAGCTAGTGATCCTGAACATATTTTCATGTGTCTGTTGGCCATTTAGATTTCATCCTTTGAATAATGTATATGCATGCTCTTTGCCCACTTCTTACAGGATTGTTTGTTGTACTGCTGTTGAGTTTCTTGAGTGCTTTATTGAAGCCTAAACACTGATGGTAAAATTTTGAAAGCATAAAACACTTCCATTTTTTTAAAGAGTTCTTCCAAGTGTCATCTGTGGATTACTACTCCCTCAATATGTTCTGTGAAAAAAAATGTCATATGTTCAAAAGAGTTTTGAAATAATGCATCTTCCCTTTTTTTATAAATTTACGATAAAACATTTATATACTGAAAGCTCTGTGAAGTCCAATGATGATAAGGAAAACTAGTCACTTTTTTCAACATTCTGTTTCTCATGCTTTCATGTTTTTTAGAGCTGATATCCCATGGACTATCTGACCTATTAGTTTTGCCTGGAACACTAATAGTTGCATAGATTGTGCTAAGGGTCTGGCAAATAATTCCTCTTATCTTTTTTTCTACCTTTCCAGAAGTTCAAAAATTTTTTTCCATAGCTCCTAATATTTCTACTCCACAAAATTCATATGCATTTGATATTACAGAAGTGTCCTTTATTCCAACAGATGCCTATCTTACTGTATGGTTTCAAATTTACTCATTATTTTCATTTACTTATATATGTAACTTTTCTGATGGCAAATGAAAGAACCTACTGTGCTGAATGGCTAGAGAATTATGTTAAAATCACAAAAGGGGATTAACCTGTGATGACACACAACCCTTTAGACCAGGGGTTGACATGGTTTGGCTTGTGAGTCCAATTTGTCCTGCCTCCTGTTTTTATAAATAAAGCTTAATTGGAACACACATTTATACATTTATTTAGACATTGACTGCGGCTGCTTTTGCAATACAACATCAAAATTGAGGAGCTGTGATGCAGCTTATGGCCTTAAAACCCTACCATATTTATAACCTCACACAACAGAAATATGCAAAACTCTGATTTATCAGAATTACACATCAACCCCACCATGATGTATGGGGGCTATACTGGCTTAACCACTTTTCGCTGGCTAAAATACCTAGATTTGTGCTTCCATGTATTTCTATGATAAGTTTGTAGATACTGCTGGGCCTCTTTGCCCTCAGATGGGCTCATTGTCAATTATCTGCTCTGCTTTGCCTCATGGCTCTATGAAGGCTGCATTTTCTGGATTCCTTGTTAGTTGTGTCTGCCAACATATTCTCCCACTTCCACTGCCTGAGGTAGGGTTTGTGGCAACACTGTGTCTCCTGGTGGCTTCAGCTGCTACCTGTTGGGATTCCAGTCCTGGCCAGTTATTTCAGCCACCAGGTTCTGACACCACCTGATTCTTTGGGTCCTTTAGCCTAAATGTGGTAGTGGCCTCCTGTGACTGCTCACCCTTCTAGTACATTTCACCCCTGCCACCACCTGTGGGACTAATTCTCTGTATGAAAAATAGTCTGCCTGGGATACTTGTAGTTTCCTTTTCCTGGCTGGGCTCAAAATGATTCATGGTCCTATGAGTCCCTGAAAATTTCAACTTCCTTCTTCACTAGGAGGTTATTTAAACCTTTCAAGAAGATATCAAGTTAACTAATTTGAAAGCAATCCTTTTACTTTCTTTTTTTCACTGACCTAGAGGGGGAAAAAAGTAATGATCAGTGAAATACCTATTAGTAGACTATGAAAAGTAACTAGAAGATGATGCATAGTCCTGGCTATTCATTGCATTTGATGTTTAGTTGGCAAATAATGGAAACAGACTGATGTTTATGTGATTTAAGGGAGAGTCAATTGGTATGAATCTAAGACATTTCTAGCACCTGAAAGCTAGAATAAGTAAAAGTGTCCTATGAGCTTCTGACTGCAAAGTTGATTTTTTTCTGAAGTGTCAGAGTAATATCATCTATTGATCCTCATTTCTGTAGGGCATGAAGGAGACCCCTGCCTACGATCATCAGATTGCATTGAAGGGTTTTGCTGTGCTCGTCACTTCTGGACCAAAATCTGCAAGCCAGTGCTCCATCAGGGGGAAGTTTGTACCAAACAACGCAAGAAGGGCTCTCATGGGCTGGAAATTTTCCAGCGGTGTGACTGTGCGAAGGGCTTGTCTTGCAAAGTATGGAAAGATGCCAGCTACTCCTCCAAAGCCAGACTCCATGTGTGTCAGAAAATTTGATTGCCTCTGAGGAAAGCATCACTAGCAGACTGTGAATTTGTGTATTTAATGCATTAGAGCATGGTGGAAAATAAAGTTTGGAATGCAGGAGAATGGCTAAAGTGAAGAATGTAATAAGAATGTAGATCACAGAAAGAAAAAGAGAACTGGATTAGAATGGTTGACCAATGCAACACAGCCTTGTGTTTCCATTATGCAACTTGTTTATGTAAATAATGTACACAGTTGTGAAGATGCTATTATTAAAAAAAAAAGCACACAGTGGAAATTACTGACGATTACCATGTGACTTTCCAACAGTTTAGGTTGTGCTGGAAAAGAGATTTCCTTCAAATTGGTGATTGACTATATGAATAGCACAAAAGCCATATTTCTATTCCAAATTGTAGTTTAATAAAATATTCTTAGTATACCTGGACAAACGGTAGGCTGTAAAACATGAAAACAGTTGGTAAACAGGAATTAAAAACCTGGAGCATAGTTAATTTGCAACATAGAATCACCTTTTAATTTGGGACACTACTTTTACCACTCAATTAAAGGCCTTCACAGACAAGAAAAAAGTATTTCCCAGATGCCATCAAAATAGTGGCAGGTATTTCATCAAACTCATTAGAAAAAAAAGCAAGCTTATTTTTCCTTAGCTTGCTTATTTTCAGTTTTCAAAAATATAATTTCACTTGTAAAATTAATAAGATCCAGCATAAAACATTCTCTTCAGATTTTGAAGGAACAATATTGCACCCCTCTCAATTGTATGTGATTCCTATTCTGAATGTATTTTATTCTCCAGACTATGTCATATTTTATCTCACCAGAAAACGTTGTCCATTGTCCAGGTTTTGGCAACCCATAGGTTATATATTTGAAGCACAAGCTGACTTTTCATCTTTGAAGCCAGAGACTGCACAACCTAAATGGAAGGTCTTCATGGGATTTGCTATCATAATACTCATTATGCAGATGGGTATAGCATAAGTCACTAGCCCTTACTATTCTTAAAATCCTTGTTTGATATTTTTGAGGCTCTAAAATAATCTTCATATGAGTAGGTCTCACAAAATGGACTCCCAAAATAGATAGTGTACTGGAGTTCCATTGTCCTTTGTAAGCTTCTATCCGGCCAATGGCACCCTCTAATTTTTCTGCACCAGACTCTCTGCAACAGCTACTTTATTGCCAAAGATATAGTTTCTCTTGAGACTAAAAAATAGAAATGGAATAACTTGTAAAATTTATATATTGTGAATCTATGCAAACCACAGGTTCTAAATTCTTGGAAACCACTGTACCATATATATATATTTTTTTGCTTAACTCGGTTCTAAGTAATATGTCTAGAACATAAAAGAATAAAAAGGTTATCTTATAATTATTACTTTAAGCATTTATAGACCATAAATGATTGTCTAATTTTCTTTTACTTAAAATCCACTGCAGTCTCAAATTCAAGTTCTCACAATACAAATGGAATCTTAGTCAGTATATGTATTAAGGATTTCAGCTTACTATATTTACTAGATTGATTGAGATTTATGCTTTCCACACATGTCTGAAAAACAAGTAAATTGTAAGCTAATTTATCCAAGAGCCAATGTTTGTACAAACAGATGGCTATAATCTCTGTGATATGCAAATGTAAGATTTTCAGTCAAATGTTTCTTATTCAGCAATTATATTTACAATCTGGTTTTCATATTGCTTCCCCAATATTAACCCTTTCAAAAATTATTATTTGAAGTAATTTATTTACTGGAAATGTTAATGAGATGTATTTTCTTATAGAGATATTTCTTACAGAAAGCTTTGTAGCAGAATATATTTGCAGCTGTTGACTTTGTAATTTAGGGGAAATGTATAATAAGATAAAATATATTAAATTTTTCTCTTCCAAAAAATTAAATTCAAATTTCCTTGTGTTTTTCTTCTGGAGAGAATATTCATAAAATAATAAATTCTCAGAGTTCTACTTGCTTCCTCTGATTTCACCACCTGAGTTGGGAATCTTTTGGATGGCAGCAGCATGAAATGACCCAAAGCAGTTTACTGCTAATAAAGACTGTTTATTTCATGACAGAGGAGTTGTAATTGTTAGAAAGTCACCTCTTTCTTCTTTAAACCAAAGTATCCCAAACTTTGCTTTCTACACATTTATTTATTTATTTATTTATTTTTATTTTTATTTTTTGACAGGCAGAGTGGACAGTGAGAGAGAGAGACAGAGAGAAAGGTCTTCCTTTGCCATTGGTTCACCCTCCAATGACTTTGCCTTTTGGGACATCTTAGAACAAGGGATCTCCACAAACTTCTTCAAAACACTTGAAGTCAGTATGAATTCATATTGGCTTCTACTAGAATGAGTCCATATACTTTTTCTCTCCAGGCCAAAATTTTCCAAAATGGAGATACAACATGTTTAAAGTTAGTAGTTCTTTTCCATATAGAACAGAGAAGGTACAAAATGTCTTTATTTGTATATGGAGGTAGACTAGCTTACATTGGCCTTGAGTAAACTCAAGTTTACTAACTAGGAAGTGGATCTTTCCTTTGGTTTCTGAATCCAGGGTTATCAGGAGCATTTGACAAACAGAGAGTTCTGGGATGGTAGTAAAAACCCATGTTAAATTAAGATAATAATCACCCAGAAATGTAGAAAATAAACATTGTGTGACAGTGAAATAGAGTCAGTGTAGCATTGGCAGCTTAATGAAGCTAAAACCATCTCACAGCTAGAGGTAAGCTTCAAAAAGCACCAATGAAATAATATGCTCATTGTTTTCATTAGTCACTTGAACTACTATTAAATGGTTAGCCAATGGAATGGATAATCAAATTTATATTTCCTAGTTAAACTCTATTTTTAGACAGTAAAAATCATATAGGTTGTATTTTTCCTTTCCACCATGCTCAGTGAGATGCTCTGACATAGACAAATTGTCTTGACTTTAGTTTTTAGCTTAGAAATAAAAATAGAATTTCCAGAAATACATTCAGTGACACTTTTTTCTTCATTCACATTCAGGTTGATTAAGAGAAAGATTCCAAAACTTAAAGCCAGATGACATATTACCCTGTTGGTGACAAAATTAACATGGGAGAATGTGGCATATGTTTGTGGGCAAGCGGTTATCTCGACACTAAACACCAGAAATAGATTATGCGCTCATTCACAGGCAGCTCCAGACTACATCAGTTCTACCATGTGGGATGCCCTGTAAAACTCAATAATGGGCAAACAAGAATGACATGCTTCCTTCTAGCAGTCAGCACAAAAGAAGGGGTGAGGAAGGTTCTGAACCATGCACTTCTTGTTCAAGAATCTCCTTCAAAATTCTACAAAACTGGAAAATTCTTACCACATGGAAAATGTGAGTAAGGGATAAAATGAGACAAAATTTACCATTCCAGTCCAGATTAAATTAACATTAAGGATTAACCTCCCATATAATTTTTAGAATTTTATATTTTAACTCATTTTACATAACTATTTCCATTATATTATCTAACACAAACTATATGAGATTCTCTCATGAAATTAAATGACACACTCAGTATCTGATGATATTATTTATAAATTTACTTCAATAAAATTTCCAATACAGAGATGCCCCATACTGGAATATAAATCTTCTATCATAAATTCCCTGGGGGAGAAACTAAGGTATAAAAATGAAATCCTCTTGCATGTTAAAGTCAAAATAAGTTGAAATCCAAAAGAATTAAAATCTGAACTGGTTTTCTTCCTTTAAGGATGAGTCCAAAGAAATCAAAGTTGAAAATTATCATATTAATGACTAAATTTTTTCTCTTTTATTCCTTATTCTGCTCTGTTTTAGCCAAAGGAATTTTTGATTCCTTAGTAAGGCAGATTCCTTCCGCAGCTGTGTCCTGCACAGTTTCTCATTGGAATAAGTGTACAGTAATAAGATCTTAGGAGTTTTGTTAGTTTGACAATAATCTCTGATATAGTTGATTTTTAATAAAGTCCAATGAATTATTAGGACACACAAGAGTAATCCAAGGGTACCACCACATTTAGAAAACAAGAGAACCTCTAGTTCTTTGGCAAAGTATGTTAACACATGGAGCAATTAGTGATGTCAAAAGATCTAAGAAAGGTGTGTGGAACAAAAATAGATGAAGAAAAATCTTTGGTTTTGCTTTGCTAAAAATGCCAGCCAATCCAAATCATGTATGTGGAATGCATGACTTCTCAATTTAAATTTATACAGGAACAACATCCCATGAAGAATTGGGTATGGTAGGTTGGGAGGAGAATTCACTTGTGAATTATCTCCTTTTACAGAGTGGTATTTGAGGCATTGCTGCCTCATGCACAGCTGGTCACGTTTATAAATTTGCCATAATGTTAGGCTCATTAGCTCTGGTTACACACCTAGCATATACAAAATATCAGCAGTGCTTAGCTGAGAGTGCAGTCTGTCTAGAGATGAGGCCTCCATAATGTCTGCAAGTTAAACTTCAGTAGGGCCATGCCCCAGTTGTTGAATATGCTGCTTCATGTTTGGAAGTATTTACTATCTCATTGCTACATTTGTTCTCATTGTAGAAGCACATCAGCATACTCCTGAACTAAAATTACTATGATATTTCTGAAAAGTGTTTCTCGTTTAAAAATATTTATTTATTTATTATTTGAAAGGCGGACAGAGAAAGAGAGAGAGAGAGAGAGAGAGAGGACTACCATCTGCTAGTTCACTCCCCAGATGGCCGCAACGGCAGAAGTTGGGCCAATCCAAAGCCAGGAGCTAGGAGTTTCTTCTGGGTCTCCCACGTGGGTGCAGGGGCCCAAGCACTTGGGCCATCTTCCACTGCTTTTCCAGGCCATAGCAGAGAGCTGGATCAGAAGTGGAGCAGCCAGGACTTGAACCAGCACCCATGAGGGATACCAGCACTGCAGGCGGGGGCTTTACCCCCTAAGCCACAGTGCCAATCCTAAAAAGTATTTCAACAAAGATTATATTCCTATGATCCCAGGAAACACTCTCAACTTATATTCCTTCTCTTGACTTTTCCACTGAATACCTACTATGTGCCTGGCAAAGCTGTAGGCACAGTGAATAGAAGGGAATTGAGCCAATACATTTTGCATTCTAGTTGTTTTTTAAAGTGATGGCTAGGAAGCAAAAAACTAACTACGTAACAAACCTGTCAACCCTATAGGGGATAGTGTACTATGAAGAATATTGAAGCAAAATGAAGGACCAGAGATAGAGAGATAATTAATTTTATTGTAGATTCTCTAGTCAGAGATGATCTCTTAGGGAAGGAAAAAATATGAATAGAAGAAAATAGACTGTGAAGCATCCAGGCAATAACTACTGAAGGCCTGGATTAGTGAAGAATTCAGAAGATATAAGAAGTTGGACTTAATGATGCTTTGAAGGTGCAACCAACTGGATTCACTGTTGGACTTGGTGGAAGTTGTAAGAGAAAGAAGGGAATCTCTGTATTCTGGCACCATGACCAGGTACACAGGAAGAGAAGCTGTTGATAAGAAAAGTTTAAAAATATCTTTCTCCTGTGCAGTGCCCTTGGATTTAACATATAAATAAAAATTGACCTTAGTTACCCATGGTAACTCTCCCACCAGGCATCTTGAGATCTTACAAGGTGGGGTTGGGGGGGTATTCTATGAAAGAGGGATTACATCGACAGAGAGAGAGCTTGTTGCATGTACTAAGGGTAGTAGGTGCAAACAAATGGAAGGCTGAGAGGTGGCAAGAAGATACAGAAAACAGAACAAAGAAGGATCACAGCACAGAAACTGAGAAGTGCAACTGAGGGTGTAAGAAGGACATGTATCAAGCAGAATGCTGGAAATCCAAAAGGAAGCTTCAATCTGATACAGATGTCAAAGGGTGTCAAAGAAAACTTAGAGGAAGAGAATAGTAGATCACAGCAGTAGGTTTAGAAAATTACTTTAGCAAAATGTGTAGCTCAGGCAACACTCCCATTGACATTGGGCCAATGAATTGCATTTAAGAGTAATTTGTCAAAGCAAGTCACAGCTCTCTTTGAGTATTAAGTAATTGTATAGTGCAGGACCTGGGAATTCTAAATAAATAACAATATGCAAGTAATTGAAGTACTTTCATGAGAAATATACTTGCCATCATACTTCTCACACATACGTCATGAATACCACAGCATAAACCTTTTAAAATTTCCTGTGGGTCAACATCTCTTTTAGATGCCATGGACTTGTTTTATTTGCTCCATACCTTCCCACTTCACTGCACCTGCTACACCAGTCATCATTCTGTGTTTAATGACCAGTCAGCCTCCAGGGCCTTGTAACAGATGGAGAACATCAGATCAGCTAGCACACGTAAAATATTCTGCCTTACTTAAGCTTTACCAATAGATCTTGAAATTGAGCTGGTTTCATCTTCCATTTCTTTGGTTAACTTGTCTATTATTTCTTCCAGCTGCACTCTTGTCTGATTCAAGAGTCATTGATTCTTTGCCCAATTGCATGCCGTTCTTAAAGCTAATTTAGATAACAGTAAAAACAAGCAATATCAATTGGAGTCTCACAGCAATGTTCAAGTTGTTTAACACATACCTTACAACTTTCCAAGATTCAAATATAGTGATGTTTTTATAATGCCTGAGAGAAATTTTATCTATTTCAAGGGACCTTCATTTCTCCAGGGTGAGCGACTTCCCTAGCATACTATGTCCTTCAGTTTAAAACTGTTGAAAATTAATGTTACCGTGGAGAAACTTGGGGACACTGAGCAAAATTTTCCTTAAAACCAATGAGGTAAAGACAACTTAAAAGCATTTAGAATTTATTTCTTTAACAAATTTGAAGTTGTTCAAAATATTGCTTAAAGGTTACAGAAGAGAATAGATGTCTGTTATTACAGGAAAGCC